CCCCCTACTGGGGACATGCCCGCAACCAAGGTACATGCCCTTGACCGGAATCGAACCTGGGACCCTTGAGTGCACAGGCTGATGCTCTATTCACTGAGCCAAACCGGTGGGCAATACAGAAAGTATTTAGAGTGAAACAGATCACAACTCTATCCTGAATCTTGTCTCTCCTCTATTATCATATGTGCCCTCTGACTTTGCACCTTCACCGCACGAAGCCTGGTGAATGGGCACAGGCGATAGTGTTCCTGGAAGCCATTCCTACACCAGGACGGCTAGGCTTACTCACCTGGATGTGGAATGACTGGGAGCCACAGTAACACATCCCACAAAAATGTAAATCTTGGGTCTTCCCAACTCACCTTCTCCATACCTGGATCCCCCCAAATGCCCACAGCGGGGGCAGCGGGAATGTGACCGAGGGAAAGCAGAGTGGAAGGTGACAGTGGTCTTTACCTTTGACAGTTAAAAATATCTTCAATTTGCAAATATGACAGAAGCATATGGCCATGTGAAGGCGTTGCTAGGCCCTCCCAGAGGCCTGTGTAAGTGAGGGGTCCTGAAGCCTCAACTGCTTTAGCTTCACGGTGAATTGGCCTCTGAAACTCCAATGTTTGATCCCAGATCTCGGACGGACTCTCCACCTGCCTAGAAATCCTAGGCTCATCGCTTAGAAGCTTTGCTTTCCTAGATCGAAATGAACATTTCACCCCTTTCTCTTCAAACAACCTGTAGCGTCTCCCCTCCAGAGAGGAGCTTGGTTCGTTCTTCTTTGAGAAAATGAAAGCACCTGCGATAACTTGCCTCATCCTCCCCCACCCCGAGCAACCCCGGCCCTCTGCCTCCCTTTTTTTTTTTATTCCCACCCTCCCCAAACCCTTTCTAGCAAACTTCGTCTACTTGCCACACATTGGTATGCTCACCATTCACAGCAAAACTTGTCAACATCTGCTGTCCCTCTGCCTTCACTTCCCATTCTTACCTCACCCCACTCACTGGGATGCGCAGCCACTCTCACCCAGGCACCTGTGCTAAACCAGTGATCGCTTTTCTCTCTTCTTCCTTGACTTCCCAATAGCTTAGCTAGAGCTGACTGCTCCCTCCTCCTTCCTACCCTCCCTTTTCTTGGTTTCCTACACTCCCAGCTCCCCTGGCTTTTCTGCTATCTCTCTGATCACCTTTGACAATTCTCCCTCCTCAACTTGACCTCAAGTGTTAGGATGCCTCAGGGCTCCTTGCTAAGCCTCTTCTCTCTCCACATTCTCTCCCTAGGTACTCCCAGTCTCATAGCCTTAAAAACCATCCAATGACTCCCCTGTATTTACCCTCCAGCTCTGACCCCCAAACTTGTATATCCCTGGCCTACCTGTATTCTCCACTTGAATGTCTAAGGGGATCTCAACTAACCTGAGAGTAAATTAAAATGGTTATTTTCTCTTCCCAAACCTTTTCCGCCCCCCCACCCCACCCCTTCTCAATAAAAGGCACCACCCACCTCCGGGTACTTCAGCCAAAAACCTAGGCGTCCACTTTCCCTCTCCACGGCCACCACCTCAGGACAATCATATCTTGCCTAGATGCCTGCTCTGGCAACCAGATGATATCTGTGCTTCCATCTGCCACACCGCAGACAAAGTGATCTTTTAATACAAAGGTCAGTAAATGTAACTTTCCTATTAAAATTCTCCACCAGTTTCCCATTGCACTTAGACTAAAATCCATTCCTTCCATTTTTGCAGCTCAAAATCCTCCCTCCTGGGGACAATGACCCTCTTTCTCTAGCTCCCACCAGCAAACCCCTTTCCTGCCCCAGAGCCTTTGCACTTGCTGGGTTTATTTATTTATTTATTTTGCTGTAGTAGTAGTAGTAGTTGTTGCTGTTGTTGTTGTTGTTGTGTGTGTGTGTGTGTGTGTGTGTGTGTGTGCCTGGTCTCATGGCTGGCTAAAATGTCACCTCCTGATAGAGGCTGCCTCTGAACGCCCAGACTGAAAGTAGCACTTCCTCACTCTCAAGTCATTGCCATATCCGGTGTTCCTTGCCCGCCCCAGCCTCACGGCATCTGAATTTATATTATTTTCTGCTTTCTTAGTTATTTTCTGTCTCCCCTGCCCACTGTAAGTTTCAGGGGAGACCAGATCCAATGTTCCCTCGAAGTCTAACCAGAGCACCACAGGAGGCACTCCATAAACACCGGCTGCGTGCGTGTAACAGCGGCGGTGCGCACAGACACACAGATGCTCCGACTGTTGTACAGTTTCCTTCTGGGGGCCACTGTCCCGCCTTAGAATCGAGAAGAGAGCGTGCCATTCACTGACACAATCCAGAGACGAGAAAGACCCAGACCGGTCCCAGATGAAACAGACAACTGAGAGGGACAGGGGACAGAAACCAGCGGCAGGGACCCGGGCCCAGGCCAAGCTCCAGAGAGAGGGACCGAGGCAGACCAGGCCGGGACGCAGCCGCAGCACAGCCGAGGCAGCTGCCGGAGACGGATCCAGGAGGAGGGGCGCGGAGGGGGGCCAGCCCCGCCGGAAGACCTGAAACCCGCGCGGCCAGCGGGGGGACCCAGCCGCCCCGCCTCCGCTTAAGAGTGGCCGCGGCAGCTGGCGGGGGCGCCGGGCCTCCCGCTGGCGCGACGCGTGCGGGATCAAAGCCCCCGGGAAGGGGCGGGCGGGGAGGTGGCAGGACCCCGGAGGTGTGAGCGAGCTTCCCAGGGGATGTCAGGAGCGTGGGAGCGCAGAGTGCGGGCAGGGGACAGAGACCCGAAGGAAGCCGAGAGATCCCAGAGACATCCAGCCACCGAGACGCAGACGCAGAGAGAGACGGAGAAGCTGGAGAGATCCCGGATCAAAAACGCAGAGACAACTAAAGACCCAGAGGTGAGCGCAAAAGTTGCTAAGAGACCTGGAAAGAACGTGAAATATACAGAGACAGAGACGCCAAGAGGTACCCAACACAGAAAGACTGCAAGACACCGAAGGCCGAGACCCTTGGACTCGGAAAAAGAAAGGGCGCTTCAGAGAGAGCAGGAGGTAGGACAGAGAGAGCGAGCGAGGCGGAGAGATGGAAAGAAGAGCAAGGGGATTAGATAGAGCGCAGGGGGCGGGAAGACCTCGCCCCTCCCCCGCGGAGGGCCCAGAGGACCCCCGCGGCAGGGATTCGAGCGCTGTGCCCTTTCTCAGGGTCACGCCTGCGGAGGTGCGGGGGCTGGGGGCGAAGGGAGTGGTGGGCAAGGCAGCAGGACCCCCTGGGTGGGAGGATGGACGTGGGAGGAGGTATGGAATCAAGATCTCCACCAGAGCCTCAAACCCTTCAGTATAGTAAAAAGTAATATATTAATATGTGGTGAAAATATTAATGAAAGGTGCCTCTCAGAGAAATATCAAACTTCTTTCAGTTTTTGTTGTGAAAAAGGAAAAATAAAGGGAACGTTGCATTGGCCGGGAATCGAACCCGGGCCTCCCGCGTGGCAGGCGAGAATTCTACCACTGAACCACCAATGCGCGCTCTAGCTTGGCTTCACCAGAGCTTATAAGAGGTCAACGTAGCGGTGATCAGGCGGGTTGTGTCAGCGAGGGACCTAGCGAAAGAGTGGGTCTGAATAGTTCAGGTGGGTGGAGCAACCCAGCCATCCTTCCTCTCTCCCGGATACGGCCACTGGGCCATAAAGTCGCCCCATATGGCCAGGGGCGGCCCCACACCCGGGTGCGAACAGCCCGGGGCCCCCAAACCTCGCGTGCAGGTGAGAAAAACTCAGCCTGAGCCCAGGTTCCCAAGGAGGGGGGCGGCGGGGGCTACTGGGGCCACACATCTGCGTTCCCATTTGGCCCAGGTACGGGGAGGTGGGAATGCTGGGGGCCCTGAACCCAAATGGGAGCGCCCTCCCCAAGGTCTGCGTCCCTGCGGGCTCGGGCTTTGGCAGGGTTGGCTCCGTGAAGAATATCAAGTTGTGGAAGGGCACGGGGAGGGCCAGGCGGAGTCTCATCCGCTCCCTACTCCGCGTCTCTCTTCCGACTTGGTCTCCAACCTTGTCTTGACGTCTCCTTGTCGCTAGCACTCTTGCGGTCCTGTTCAATCTCTGATTTTACCTCATCGATCGTTTCCCCCTGAAGTCGCCTCATTCTGCAGAGGGTCATGGTCTTGGTTTGGGGAGGGTGTAGGTCCCTTTTTTGTATCCCTTTCTTGTCCCTTTAAGAAAACTGCCTGCCCCCTGCTCCCCTATAGTTACCAGGAGGTTCCTGGGAGCGGGCGCACTCGTGTCAGGTGTCCTGGCAGCCACACGCCCGAATCTCCCACCTTTTTAAAAATCAAATACTTGTAAATGGAAAGATCTCTCCCCCTCCTGCCCGTGCTTTGCTTCCTCTTCCTTGAGGTTCCCCTCGCCCCAGTCCAGACGCCCCTCAGGACGGTCTTCTTCCCGGTTACCTACTTTAATTCTGTAACAGTTACTTGATAACACGCGTGGTTCCCCCACTAGATCCTGCAGGGGTGAGCTGGACCTCGAGCGCATACCTCTAATTAAATACGACGCCTTCGATCTCACAGCGCGTCTCCTCCCCCTCCAGGCAGAACCCAGCTGAATAAGATAGATCCGCCTCCCACCCGTTAGCTCTCTTCTTATTTTAAGCAGGATAATTGGGGTGAAGATGTGTAAGATCCAGCCTAGGGGCCGAGGGGTGCTCACTTCTTTTTCACTGTCAGCGGGGGTACGGTGACCTCCCAAACTAGCTGCGATTCTGGTGGCAAATTCTGACCCCAAATCACCTGAACTCTCTCCCCCCTAATAACCTCCTCCCTTCAGCTGGGCCCGCCTCATTATACAGCCTTATGGTCCTTAAAACAGCTGGTGCTCCGCTGACCCCTCATTTCCCACACTCCAGGCCCGTTCCACGCCCTCCCCTCCCCCCAGCGCTCCTCCCCTTTCCGGGAGCCTCGTGCCTGGGGCCAGGCCGGAGGGATCCGGGTGCCTAAGAGGGCGGGTCCTGGCCCCCCCCCCCGCCCCCGGGAGCCTGAGGGATATAAGGTGCAAGGAGCAGGGGCTCGTCCACACCAGGGTCCGGAGGAGCGATGGTCACCCGGGATCGAGCCGAGAATAGGGACGGCCCCAAGGTGAGCGGCGGGAGAAGAGGGAGCCGAGATCCCTGGTCCGGGCAGGGGACCGTGTCTCTGAGAGCGGGGCTGCAGGGGGCGATACGCACCGGAGACCCGCGGAGCCCGGAGCTGGGGAGGAAGCTGCAAAGCCTGGAGGAGGGGGACAGGGTCAGGCAGGACCCGCGTGGGCGGCAGAAGCACCGGGCTGGGGTTTGGGTCGCGGGAGTTGGCGGCTTGCGGTCGCGGGGACGCGGGCGGGG